TACATCTTTTTCATTCACTTTATGGTTGATGGGCCTCTTGGTTGTTTCCAAGATGTAGCTATTACAAATTGTGTTGCTATGAACATGGGTCCACATATATCACTGTGATATGACCTTTTTAATCTTTACTTAAGAATGTTTTCATACTTTACTTTTCATTCTTTATTTAAGTATGTTTTAAGGGATAATAAATGGTTTATTTTGGAGAATGTTCCATGCACAGCTGAGAAGGATGTATATTCTGATGTGGTTGGGTGGAACACTCTGTAAACTCTACTAAGTCTAATTGTTCACAGGTATGTTCAGTTGTATTATTTCTTGGCTGACTTTTTGGCTAGTTGATCTATCTCTTTGTAACAATGGGGTAGTAGGGTCCCCTGTTATAATTGTGTTCTTATGTATTTGTTTTCATGTAATTATGGTCTTGTGTGCTTCTCTATTTGATACATAACATTTATAATTGTTAGTTCTTCCTCTTGAATTTTTCCACTAATGAGTATGTAGTGACCTTCTTTACCTCTTTTAATTATTTTAGGTTTGAAGTTCATGTTGCTTGCAAATAGAATAGTTACCCCCTTTTTTCTGGGTTCTGTTGCATAGAATACTGTTTTCCATCCTTTGACTTTTAATCTATGAGTTTCTTTCTGAGTCAGATGTGTTTCTTGTATACAGCATATTGTGGCATCATGTTTCTTGATCCATCCTGTCAACCTATTTCTTTTGATAGGTGAATTGACTCCATTTACATTTATGGATACCATTGATATATGCTGGCTAGACTTTGCCATCTTACGTTCCAGTTGTTTGCTTTCTGCTTTTCCCCTTTGTTTAATTGATTGTCCTACCTGGTGGTTTCTTTCTGTTGTTGTTCTGGAGTTAGTGGTCATTTTTATTTCTGTGTATTATGTCTTTCAATACTCTTTCTGGGGTTGGTTTAGTGGATGTGAATTTCATCAGTTGTTCTTTGTCATGGAAGTATCTTGCTTCTCCTTTCAATTTGAATGGCAGTTTTTCTGGGTACATCAGTCTGGGTTTAAAATTGTTTTCTTTCAGGGCTTGAAATAGCTCACTCCAAACTCATCTTGACTTGAGGGTTTGTGCTGAAAAGTCTGCTGTGATTCTAACGGGATTTCCTTGATAGGTGAGCTGTGTCTTTTCTCTAACAGCTTTGAGTATTCTGTTTTTATACTGTACATCTGAGATCTTAATTATTGTATGTCTGGGTGTAGATTTATGTTGGTTATGAGTGTTTGGTGTTCTATTTGCCTCACTTATCTGCGTATCAGATATTTTCCCCATGTTTGGGAAATTTTCTGCTCTTACTTCTGTGAATATTTTAGTTATATCCTTTGCATTGACTCCTGCATCTTCACTGATTCCTATTAATCTTTTGTTGCTCTTCTTGGCATCATCTTGAAGCTGATGGATTGTCATTTCTTGCTGCTTTGTTATTTTTAAAAGTTCTATCTTTTCATGATCACTGATTGCGATCCTGTCCTCAAGGTCCGAAATCCTATCCTCAGCTTCATTTAAACACTTTTGCCAACTTTGAGTAGAATTTTTTGTTTCTCGGATGTCTTTTTGAATTTGTTTCATGAATTCTACTTGTTTTCTATATTATCCATTCAAGGTTTCAATCAGTTTCCCACGCTCCTCTACTTTTTTCTCTATTTCTTCTTTAACTGCACTCAGCAACTCCTTTACTGAGGTTGCTATTTCTATCTTTACATGGGAGAATATTTCTAATTTGATTTCCTCTGAGCCTCAGTTGTTTGTTTATTTCACTCAGTATCAAGATGGAATCTTACAAATGATCATGTAATGTAAACTAAGTAGAGAGCACACAGAATAAAAATTAAATGAAATACAGATATATCAATGAAAATATGAATATATTAATCTAAAGATAGACTTACAGAATAAATTTTTAAAATTACAAAACACATCCCAATAGTAGTGCTATTTACAAGAAACTCACTTTAAATTTATCAGAATAGTGTGCTTGGCAAGTACCAGGATGAAAGAAGATATCAAAATAAAGTAGGAATCAGAAAAAGGGATCAATTCACCAGGAAGGCATAAAGATCTTAAATGTGCATACATAAAACTAAGAAGTCTCAAAATACATGGAATAAAGATTGATCGAATTAATAGGGAAACATAAATCCACAATATATTTAAGGAACTTAGTACTCTTCTCTGGATGGATTTGTTAATCAAAACATCATCAAAAATATAGGCAGTTCAAATTACACAAACAGCCACATGATGTTAGTTGACATAGTTGAAGTAGTTCCTCAATAAGAGCTAAGTATACACCTTTTGCAGATTTCCATGAAAATTTTATCAAAACAGTCAGAATGCTGGATCCTAAGAGTCTTCAACACATTTAGAAGAGTTAAAGCAAGTAAAGTGAGTTAGTTGACTATCTAATTAAACCGAAGTACATTTTAAAGTGTAACTGACATAAAATTTTAACCACTTGCAATAGACAATATAATGCTGTTATTATGAAATAAGTGTATAGATCAATGGGCAGAATATATACATAGCAATAAACTCAAACAAGTAAGCTCAATTGTTTTTGCACAGAGATACAAACAGAATTCACAGAAGACAGGATTATTTTTTCATGAAATAATCTCTCAACTGACAGCTAATGACAGAAAAAGAGCTCAACAGAAATGAGGCAGAGAAGATTGGATGATAGGAACAGCTATTTTGGAGAAAATGACATCTTAATAGGTAATACTGATTTAGTAACATCTTGTTTTGAAGTCTTATCAAGCTTTTGTTCTTCTGTCTCCATTGGTCTAAACAGGTTGTATCTTATTGGATTTTATTATGTACGATAGTATAAGCAAAAACTTTTAAAGACAAGGAGATTATACAGAAACCATTGTTCATTTTCTGTTAGTCGATTCTAAATACCCTGTAATGCTGTCATTCTCTTAAATGGTTTTACATTGTTTTGATATATTTAATGCTACAGTATACGAAGTTGTACTCAAGGATTTCAAGGAAAGAGACAATATGGTAACTACTTTTATGTCAGGATTATCTTGTGGTGAAACACTATTCTGCTTAAATGGTTATGTTTTGATCTGCGCTGTTTTGCTGTTATGCCCTCTTTTATCTCAATCTCCACTCCATTATTTATTTTTTTATTTTTATCCTTTTAATTAAGGGAAAAATAAAAATAGCAGGATATATTATAGTAACCCACTTTGACTTTCCATTATCTTGATTTGAAGCCCTGTATTACTCTCACCATCTTGTTTTTGACTGATGTTCCCCTATTCTGTTTTGCTGGATAGTACCAGGTTCGAAAGTTTAGGCAACAGCTGTGAAGATAATGAGATTCATTATGACGCCCATTCTCGATGACTTTTATCTACTTTTGAAGACCTACAGTGTCTTCAATGTTTTGGTTTTGTCGGGTTTGTTCTTTACTGTTTTGTTCAATTTTATTATAACTGATGATATAGGCAATTCTATTAGAAATAGCGGGAGGCATTATGGTAACCATTGTTGATCACCTTGTATTATGTTTTTACATTATCTATTATGTCCACCCTTTTGATTTGACCGACTCTGTTCTGTTATGTCACATTTGGTTTTACTCTCTTCCAAAAAAGTAATAAGAACCGTGGGAGCAATAAAACCCAAAATGTGTTATAGTCATTGTACAAAAGAGAGGGAAAGAAGGTGCTCTAAATGATATAACTGTATGTATATTTAAGTGTATAAGATAGAAAGTGATATCACTGAGTTTTATTGGATCACTGAACAGAACTGTTTGCAGTATCATTGTTGGAACGTCCACTTTACAAGCTTTAATTTTGTGACTTGAAAAATTATTTCTAAGATGACAATATGTAATCCATTAGCTAGTGATTTCCTACTGTTTATTTTTTTCTGTAAATCTGTATAACTTGTACCCTTTCTCTGCTTTTTTTTTCTCCTTAAATAAAATTTAAAAAAAGAAATAATCTCTCATTCTGTAAAAGTTTGAATCAAACTAGATCATAGAACATAAAACAAAACTAAAGTATTTTAAAGATAGAAGCATAGCAATAAATATTTTAAACCTAGAAGCGGGTATATAATTTCAAGTGTTGATCTATAAAAGGAGATAATGATAAATTGGTCCTACAGTCTAAAATGAAACTATGGATGAGGAGAGAGATGTGCAAGCCACATACCCAGATGAGAAGCACTATCTTGAATGTACAAGGTCATGATTATTTCATGTCAGTATTTCAGTTATGATACGTTACAATAGCATTGCACAAGTAAAGTGTTACCAGTGAAAGAAAGTAGATAAAGGATATAAATGATAATTTATATTTTTATATGTGTATTTTTGTAATTTGTATTTTTTATAGTTGCATATGAATCTACAAAAGTAAACAAGTAAACATATGACTGTTAATATCAGTTATTTTCAGTGTCTTAGTCAAGAATGCATAACAATTCAGGTAGGAAGTTAAAATCCATCAGTCCCACTCCTGTGCCTTGATTACTTGAAAGTTCTTCATCTTTGAGGAAATATTTGAAGATCTTCATTCATATACAAAGACTGCATAAAATTTTTTATTGCTCTATGCTTTAATGGTAGCAGAAATAGAGAAGAGGGGAAAATTAGTTTCCAAAGGTTACTTTGGTAGGAACCGGAGTCCTCATTATTCATAACTGAACTACAAAAACAACATAGGGTAAACAAAGGCTGTGATTTAATAAGCACCAATCTGAGAAAATTGAGCAAACAACTTTCATTTATTACAAATGATCACCAAAACCAAGAAAGGAATAATGAGAAGATAAGCATAATGTATTAATTGAGTCACTGTCTCCATTTCTGCCTGGGAAAATGCAAAAATACAACACAAACACACTCAAAAGGATATACTGAAATCCCCTTAGAGATGTCTTTCATTTCACTGGGAGACATGAAATGATTTAAATAGACTTTATAGTATTCTTAACAAATAAATTACCTTGAGAGATGTAAAATCTTAAATACTGTCTTTTGTGAAAATGTCATGAAGAAGAGATCTTTGGCTCTACTCTTTTATCTAAAAATAAATAAAAGACAGCAATTAGTCGTTGCACTGTGTAAAACACTGAGCTGTCACAGTTGAATAAGTTTTAAAATTCTGAAGTATTCAGTATTTTGTTTGTAGCACCTTTCCTAACATGAATGCTGTACTTCCACTTGAATAAAGTCATTCAAACTTTCTTTAAGCCAGATTTTTTCATAGAAATCCCTCACAGACCATCTTAATCGTAAAGTCATGTGTTTTTCATTCTTTATTCTTTTTAAAGTCTTTGTCATAGAGAAATTGTTCTAATTTATATCCACTTCATTTTTACAGAGATCAGACCTCTATTAATTATCTATCTGTTTATATTTCCTACTTAGTTGTTTGATCGAATTTAGCCTAATTTATCTTTCTTATTAAAAAACCCTCCAGACTACTATAATGTTCTCTGTAAAGTATTTTCATATTCCTGAGATTCCAGTTACTTTTCAAAAAACCGTTTTCACTTGTCAATCATGAAGTATTACTATTGTTGCATTAGTTTTTCATAACTGCTATAGCAAATTAGCACAAACTAGGCATCTTAAAACAATAGAAACTTACTCCTCAGTTCTGAACTCAGAAGGTTCCAGATTGGGCGTCACCGGGACCATGCTCCCTCTGCCGACTCTTGAGAAGTTTTTCCTGTCTCTCCTAGGTCTGGTGTTTGCTGGCAGTCCTCAGTGCTCCTTGGCTTTTGTTGGCATGATTCCAAACTTTCTTCTTTTACACATGCCATCTTCACTGGGTATCTGCATTCACACTTGCCTCTTTCTAGAGGACACCTATCATTGGATTTGGGACTGACCTCATTTAGTGTGACCTAGTCTTAACCCGAGTGCATCTGTAAAGCCTTTATTGCCAAATATAGTCATATTGACACATACTTAAGATTAGGAGTCAGTCATTTCTTTTTTGAGGACACAATTCAGTCCACAACAATTGTGAAAATGTGTCTCACTTCAGGTAGATAGATTATAAGAAAGATAATTATTAGCAATAATATCTATATATAACTCTTAGATTAATGACATTTTCCTAATTAGAGCTTATTTAATGTAATTAAACTACTTTTAAGAGAACATTTTCAACCTTTCTAACCATAAAGATATGCCAACTTGAATAAAGAACAATTAAATCACCTTCAGAATTGATTCTTCCTTATAACAAGAAAGAAACAAGGTATTTAATCTGCAGAATTGTAAGTACAAAGCCTCTCCATCTGGTATGTATTTGATGAGACTTAGAAGCACAGATGAGTGCTGTGTTTAGGAATCTGAATGCAGGATGCATCCTTCAGCTGCCCCTTCCTACTCAAGAGGGGGAAGGGAAAGCTCACAGCCACGTTTAATGTGATATTTCCAGTACAATGAGCTATTTTGAGGGTAAAGTTTTATGAATCTGTTTGTATAAATCAACATAATTGATATCTTAATACATTATAAAAATCAATTTAAAACCCAGTACATTAAATACCTAAAATACAGCTTAAGAGTAACTCATGATCCTTAGTCTGTTTTTGCAGTCCCATGCTCACACCACGGTCCACCAGTCCACGGCCAAGAAATAGAGACAACTGACACATTCCAAATAGATGACTGAATGTAGAAAGTGTACATGTACATAGTGGAACAGTAACCATAAAAAGATGAAATTCTTTCATTTGTGACAGCATAGATGAAGTGTTTAGTGTTAAGTGCAATAAGCCAGCCACAGAAAGACAAGTACCATAGGATCTCATTCATATGTAGAAGGTAAAACAAGCTAATGTCATAGAAGTCAAGGCTAGAATGGCCAGAGTTACCAGAGGTCGTGTCTAGAAGGGGAGGGAAGGATGGGGAAATGCTGACAGATGAGTGCAAAGCATAGTTAGGTGGGAGGAATAAATTCTGCTGGACTATTGGGTAGTAAAGGGATCATCAACCGCCATAATGTACTGCATATTTCAAAACGCTAGCAAAAGAGAGTTTGCATTTTGTAGTCTAAAGAAATGATAAACATTTCAGAAGATGTGTTTGCCCTAATTTCAGCTTTAAGAAATGCATCTATTTATTGAAATGTCTCATGGTACCCCATAAATACTATATGTGCAATTTTTATGTATCAGTAAAAAGTTTTAAATGAATACAGAAATCAGGCAAAGATAGTGCATACTCTTAGAAGTTATGATGGTGGTCACCTTACAGGAGACTGCAAGGAGTCAATAGTAAACGACAGTGATCAGTGAGGCTTTTAAGGTTTGATTACACTTTCAAAATAGAGCGGTACAAGGTGTGTTCATTTTGAAAACTTGTCAAACTGTAGACCTATGTTTCCTGCATATACATCATATTTCAATAAGAACTTTAAAAATTCAAAACGTATATAGCTTTATGCACAAAAATGTTATACTAGTTGAAATAGTAAAAGTCAGGGTTGAGTTTTGCTAAAATCAAATGAAGTTTGTCAAGATTTCATTAAAAAGTAAAGGAAAAAATTCACATAAACTAAAACCAGCAAAACTCTTAATCTGAGTCAATACCATTCTTAGTATTTGAAAGAATTTATTTAACTTATTATCAAGTGCTTGTGATGTGTGCCAAGATAATTTTGGACACCAGAATGATTAAATAATTATTTTACTATTTTAATATTCTATTACTATTTTAATATTCTACCTGCCAGATATTCATATGCATAGAAAATGCCCATTCACACATCAAAAAAGCTATTATATTTCCACTTTGTCCATCTAATTCTTTCCTGTTTTTCAACATTCTGGTTGATTTCTGCTTCTTCTGAAAATGTTTTTCTAATTGCTTTGGCACAAAGCCTGCCAAAGGAGATGATCAATAGTTATCAGTTTAGTATCCATGATGGAACCAGCATTCAAAGTATAGTACACACATTCCTTCAAACATATTCTTTTTTGGGAAAGATTAAAAATTTGAATTTAGTAGTATATAATATAGGGATATTTGAAAGAGTTTCTAGAATTTAGATAACTGAATGCACCTCTAAGGATAAACACATTTTAACTTAAAATGTTACCTCATTTCAAGAGTCAAATCCTGATTAGAGTTGCCAGATTTAGGAAGCAAAAATAGAGAACCCTAAGATAAATTCGAATTTCAGATAAACAGCAAGTAAGTTTTTAGTAAAGTGTGTTATGTTTATCCGAGATTTATATTTAACTGAGCTTCCTGTTTTGTGTCTGGCCAGCTGAATCTTGAGGTGTCTGTCCTTCTGTCCTGGTTTAGTCTGAGGCCCGGTTGGGCATGCTCACAGAGAAGTCAGTGGGCACACTGCCGCTTTGTGGCAGCCAAGAGCAACGACATTATTGTTCTGAGAGAGAAGAGGAGCCGCCCAGCAACTGGATAATCACTTTCAATGCTCCTCATATATAAGATTGAAGGACAAACTCAAGTGCCTTCAGAGAGGAAAGTATGAAAATGACCATGCTTATTTTAGATAACATCAGTTTTGGTTGGCGTGATGGCAAAATGTATCTCCTTTCTGAGGAACCAATACTCCAACATTCCTAGATAAGGTTTTGGAGAAATGAGAGGATGACTTGATCAGTGAATATTGCCAGAAACAACATGTGAACTGTTCTCATATGACTACTTACGAAAAACTGCATATAATAGTATGATGTTACAAGTCGACTGTATGATTTTGCATTTATTTAGTGCTAAAATTTGTTTTCACAATATTTTTAAGAGCAGTCACTTTTCAGTAAAGAAAGGGATACACTAATTTGAACTGGAGAGAATACAAATCCTTTAACTTCCAACCCCAAAAAACTTTCAGTAAGCTAGAACCACTATTATATTCTGAAATAGTCTTTTAAAAGCACCTTAAAATACTATTTCAGAAAGGCTAGCCATACATGTAGAAAAGATGCTCTTTGGTGATAATTTAAGATTTTCTCATAGATACTAAAGAATTCCCTAGTTTAAAATTCTCATACATTTTTAGAACCACTGAAGCAAGAAAACCTTTAAAAATTCATTTGGTTGTATCCTTTTCTTTTCTGACAAAATAATCCACTTTATTTTGTATTTGTATTTTCATGTTTTTCAAAGAATGGGTGTTCTTGTGAGATAATGAATTTCTAATCCATGAAAGAATTTATTTGAAAGTTAATTTACAATAAACTACCAAGCACTTTTTACTAACAATATGAAAAATACTTTAATTAAACTTTAAACTAGAGTGATGCATTGAAATGCCCAAACTTTGATAGCAAGGAACGTGGATGTTCAAATATGTATGAAGGCATTATTTCTATTCACATTAGAAACTATACCGAATGTAGTCTGTGTTGAAGTATTTGAAGTTGTACCCCATGGCTGTTAAATTTCTTAAAAAATCATGTCAGTCTTGGAAAAAAAAACAAAACAATTTATAGTCTCACCTCCAAATGGAGACAAATATTGGTTGATTTTCCTGGCACCACAGTTGGCTATAATGCTGTATTAAATGTTTCGGTATAATCTTGTTGGAAGATTACCCAATAAATCAAATTTCCAGTAATTTGTCTACATAGAGTAGACAATTAAAAAATATGTATATGTTGTATCACTTATTGAGCAATCTGCCAAACAAGCCATGTAATGTTGTGATAGAACAAAATGGGCAAGGTTTCTTTGGCCTCAATCACTCGCTGGTAGAGCTGTTTACCTTACTTAAGACTTCAACAATGAACTAGGTGTTCCAGAAAAAAGTAATTAGTATGAAAGGAAATGATGTGAGACTGGATGGGAAGTGACTGTGGACAGAAGCTACAATGCACACACACAAGTTCCATGGGGATATTTGAATCAAAAGAGGATCACAGTGAATTCAAACAAAATCACTACCATGCAGTATACTTTACTAAATTACAAGTTTGTATCACAAAGTAAGTTGTTGGTCATGGGCAAGTGTTTCTATTTTGGGAGTAACTGACTATAATGTTAGAATTTCTTCGGCTGCCTTTTTCTTCTAGGGCTAAGCCTTTTGTACACGAAAGCCCATGTGCGCCTCTATTTTCCTGTTACTGCTCCTTCTTACCCTTTGGCAGGGTGCCCTGTCAGACCTCTTCGGCATGTCTGAATAATACTCAGTTCTATTCTAACCACTTCCTTCCCAGTCTTATTTCAAATGATGTCATAAAAACAGTTTCTTTAGGCCCAGTTTTTCTGGGAATTTATGCAACAAGCCACAGGAGCTATCCTATCTTTGGTCATGAAGAGACCTTGAACTAAATGGGTGATCTTAATAATCAGTAAAGGCTGAAGTCACTGAAATCTAGATTTCATTTTGCAGTATTAAGAAATATACATACTCAAATGAAACTATTTAAATTCAGTTCTATATAAAGAGAAACTCAATAAAAGAAATGGGTGGTAAGAATATCCACCTGAAATGCATCATATATTTTTCTGGATTTGATAAAAGTTCTGAAGCTCTTAGCAATTACGTCATTAATGTGATTATTAATTAGCTCAATGTCAATAAGCATGTGAGTGATAAATTCTTTTCCTTTTTTAACAGTACTGGGGAATGAACTCAGAGCCTTTACTCTAAGTTACATCCCAAGCTGTTTTTCAATTGTTTTATTTTATGTTTTTGATACAGGGTCTCATTAAGTCACTAAATTGCTGAAGCTGGGTTTGAACTTATAATCCTCCTACCTCAGGTTCTCAGAGTACCGGAATTACAGGCAAGCACCACTTCACCTGGCTTAAATGATTGTTTCTTTGGGGGGAAAACTGACAGTTAAAAACAATACTATCATCAGAAAACCTGCCTTTCCTTGGTCAACTAATGTGAATTCCTCGTCACTAATGTGAACAGTCTGTGGAAAGTTAACTTCAGAACTGAAATGATTAAAAAATCATGGTGAAGAGATTCATAGTTTCATGCACTACAGTGCTGGCAGTGTTCCTGGACCTGAGCAGGACCTTCAGAATTATTAATAACATTTAAAAAGTGGGTCTGGAACCAAAAAATTTCTACCCAGAAATACAAAACAGATCTTTCTTCTGTTCATTTTATTTTTCATGATTCCAATTTTTGGGGTGAAAAAAGTCTGTTTTTCAGTACTATGGTCCTTCTCACCTGTTCTTACACATTAAGCCCTCATTTTTTTTTACTCCAATTATTGGCACCGAGTCCATCTTTTAAGGTTCTGAAAGTCTCTGGTTTCAAATGCAAATATGAGAAAGGAGAGAAAGTGACATCTGGGGAAAGACTGCAGGAGCATTTCTACTATTCTCAGAGACACGACTGTATGAAGCCTGCCTGCACTTTTGTGCTCCGGCAGAACATTAGCTACCCCTTCCTCATGGTTCCCAGGACCTGCCTGTCCTCCAAGATACTGTTTCCTTACTGTACTGAGAGCTCCTTAAGCAGGCTGTACTTTGGAGTTTTACTTGAAACTGCGTACACAGAACACCAATGCCGACACAATAGAACTGTCAATCAGTGTTTACAGAAAAGGTGCGATGTTTGCTGAAAAGATGAATGATTGGAAAGATCAAGTTACTGAGGATCTCTCCATACATTAGTAAAGACAGCAACCTAAACCAAATACTGAATAGTTCTGTTAAATATACAAGTCTGAGTGAATTAAAAGAGATTAAAAATTTATCTGATGAGTATAGTTTTCAAATTTATTATGCAGGCACATCTTTGTTAGTATCATACAGAAACTTGCTTTGTAGTCTTTCATTTGTCAACTAATTTTTAGACCTTTGGCAGTGTGCAGTTATTGATCAATTCTTTTAGTTACAAGTGACAGAAACTAACTTAAATTAAAAGTACTTTTGGTTACAAGTGACCAGAGGACCAAATTTAAATGAAAAGGAAAATCCCATTGGCTCACAAAATCTTGGTGGCCTTGGGCCTTAACACATTCAGACTTCTGTCTCTCTGCATTTTCTACTTGGCTTCATATTCTTTTTCTACAGCAGGGATTCCTTACTTCCTTTGTTCATGTGAGGGACACCATGATCTTATTGCAAAATTGGTGTCATGTTCTAGGGTTTTCATCCCCAGAGATGGAAGATGCTACTTAAAAGTTGTACATAGAAAATCCTATGTAACCTAGCATGGGTTCTGTATCTCCTTCTGAACCAGTCACATAGCCACAGAGAAGGTTGTGTCCTCCTGGGTTACAAGCCTCACTTTGAAATTAGGGACAAGATCTATTGAGAGAAGAAGGTGCACATGCTGGAGAGGCAAGAACAATGGCCAGCACAAAGAAATGTGTCACCTTTTACCTTTATTTGCTTGTAAAGGACCTCTCAGTACCAACTAAGCTGCAAGGAATTGTTTAGTCCTCAACCAAGATGGCTAGTCAAATCAACAAAAAGTAGAAGCCACTGGTGATTGATAGAGATGTTGCCAATGGAAATAGGCCTAGGAAAAAAGCCAGTCAACATTTACAGCTTAACAATGAGGTATAGTTTTAAAAATATAGCATGTATTTAAACTCTTAGACATTATTACTGTAAAAGACACATTGCCATAACCCTCCTCACAGTGCTCCTCTCCCATTTCAAACACTTATTCCATTGTTCCTACACTTCTGAAGCAGTTCTGGTAGCTCTTTTTCATGTCTTTAGTTGCACAGTCAGGACTGCTTCAATGTCCTGAGTCAATTTAAGACATATATCTTTCATCGACATTTTTACATTGCAGAAGATCCAGAAGTTGCACGGTTCCAGCAGGTGAAAATGGTGAGTGAGGACACATCACAGTGTTTCAACAGCCTGGCTTTCCATCGGATGGCAGTGGCAGTGGCATTTACCATGCTCCTGATGACCTTGGGAAGGCACTCACGAAGGAGGGCTTCCAGAACTATTTTGGTAAGTGACAAGAATGATGGGATATTCAAAGCCAGACGGGAGTATTTTGAAGGAGTTAATGACAATGTGTCTGTTATCATGATTAATTTAAAAAATTTGAACATTTTCTATATTTTTGATCACCTCTCATGTATTAGCAGGGATTTGGCTACTCAAGATATTGCTCATTAAAGGACATCAAATAATTGCTACTCCTTATGGTCTGAAGGTAGCTTAGTTTGTGACTTAAGAGAAAAATAAAGTGACTGCTGAAAAGCTCTTACCAATGTCAAAACTTTTCCAAACTATTCTCACACCGACAGTAAAGCATAGGACTGAGTTAGAAATTAGATATAAATACAAATAGGATTTATTTAAATATTTTGAGCTAAACTTCAGTAAATTTCAATTTTTTCCAACTGTAATGTTCTTTAAGAATAACTCAGGTTTTTTCCTTCAACTCAGAATAACATGTTATTTTTCAGAGGTGAAAGAATGTAGTATACTAAGACTTTGCTGTTTATTTTTAGTCATTCACTGGAATAGTTTTTTCCATTTAAAAACCAACTTTACGGTAACTATTATGCTGTGAAATCTTTTACTAAATCTTTCTACTTAACAGATTTCCTTAGTATTCCATTAGTAACAGTGATAAGATCAGAGCATAATTACATTCATTTGAATTCTTTGCACACAAGTTTTTACTGGCAAATGGATAAACATTTAAAGTTACTCACTGTCTGTGAATTGTTTTTAACTTGTTTGATACTGGAGATTGAACCAAGGGCCTCACACATGCTAGGTAAACACTCAGCCACTGAATTACATCCCTTTAAAATTTTTTTGAAATTTTGAGACAGTCTGGCTGTTTCCCCAGTTAGCCTTTGTCTTATGACCCTCCAGATATAAGTAGCTGGAATTACAGACCTGTACCACTGCACCTGGCAAAAACAGTTGTCTTAAGAGAAAAAAACTATTTCATGCAGTTCTTGTATGACATGCAGGCATTGACCTGGATATAAAATTTATGTTATAAAAATTCAGGCATTAAAATGACTTTCCACATCACATCTATTTTTCTTGTTTGCAACATTAAAAAATAGAAATATATCAAGAATAAGCTAAATTTATTATTTTAAATACCTATATTCATGAATGTTTAGGAGATAATTTCATAATTTATGCAAATCTCTATAAAACTGGAAAGTCAAGTTTTTTTTTTGAATAACATTTTGCTTTTGTTTTACCTTGCTTTGTTTTAAAAAGGCATTGATTTTTGAATGATCAGCTTTCCCTAAGGCATGTACAGTAGAAGTTGTTTCTGTGAACAAAACTTGTTCACTGATTACTTCATTCAACAAGTATTTCTTATAAAATTATTATTTTTCCAAAGAGCATTATTCAAGTCCCAGGGACAAATCAATCTGTAGTCTATAAGTTTTTTTCCTAAGACCTCAAAGCCATTGATTCAATCATGGTATTGATATATTAACAATGAGTTTTTCATTTGCAAGTGTGAAAAATGACCAAATATCACAGCTGGACTATGTTTAAGCAGTTTGAATAACCAGGATGGTTTTGATTTATCTCACTTTCATATTATGAAAAGAAAACATAATACAGTATATTTTCTTTGTATAATGATTTACCTTATACGAAGCAGTTTCATATCCATTAGTTCATCGTGGTCTCATGACAAACATGTGAAGTAAACCAGAAAAGTATGCTTATCCTCTTGTCAAGAAACAGAGAGATGAGACGACTCATGAGGTCATGGAGCACTTGGATGCGAACAACTGTCCTGAGGACAGGCTGACTGAATCCAAGGTCACTCTCCTGGAAAACCTGCTGAGTCACAGCCACCAGAGAAAAGAGCTCTGGGCCCAGTACCACACTCTAGTTTTTATTTGTAGATTATAAACTCCAAAGGAGTAAACTAAGCCAGGAAAGCAGTTAAAATGAACATTTTCGTATTTACTCAGATTTCAAAGCAGTACGCTAGTCTAAATACAGCACTGTTTAAAGCAAAGTTTCCTATCGGTTCCAACAAAACTCTCCAAAGTTAATGTCCTTGGGTCATTTGATTTTTTTTTTTTGTTTATTTAAATGTGAACATCTATAGACACTGCTGGAATAATAAGCATTTTTCTCTTGGATTTATCTTGATTAACTATAAGGATAGAATTACTTCTGAGGTTAAAACAAACCCTTGAGATTTGGCGGTTCAGTGCATCCACTTCCTCTAAAATTTTGGTAGTTCATGGTTGTGAAATTTCCTTAACTTCAACTAAGTTACTTGATATGGAAAATAAACTTCGCTAATCACATATTTTAGGCATCCTACTATTTCCCAATTCGGGCAACCTGGACATGTTAACTAGCTTATTTAGGACTCTGGTATAGTGACTAGCAGAGAACCTAAGGAATTAAAGAAAAACAAAATGATGAAAACTGAAACTTGTTAAAAATCAAAACGAATTAGGACACTGGTTATTCTTAAACTTCTCTCCACTAAATGCATTTTAATTCCTAGCTTGAACTTTATTTTTTTTCCATACTAGTAACAATATTGAATTAGGATGTATTCATTTTTCTTAAATGTTTATTGTAATGCAACTCCATGCAATACTAACAAGCAGCAGAGTCTGAGGGCTAGAGTCACCTAGTTCACTTCCGGGCAGTCATTTCTTGTCATAAACCTTTCCTAGGGGAGGAAATATTAATGAGTTATTTAATAAAGCACATACAATCCCCAGGCTTAATACAAATGTGACAGCTATGAGAAAATGAAGCAGCAGGCTCCTTGCAGGTAATTAAAAGGCTCCTTACAATATGCAAGAAATATTCAATCTTTTCCTCTTCCACAGGTGCAATCTAATCTAACTTCAGATATCTCAGTGTGCTTTAGAAAGATCTGTTCTTCATGAAATCTTGTGTTTTCTTGGCGTAGAAATAATATTCAAATATTTATTAATTGTCAAATATAATGCTTACCATGTCATTCATGCTGTGAAGACTATAGTTTGATCATTTTAATGTTTTGAATGTTATATAAAACACACAATAAAACTGGGCCACCATGAAATGTCATTTTTATGTCTTTGACAATTTCAAAATACTTTGTTGAATAGTGTATCATTGTTGTTCTCTATTTCCTTTGCTCATTCTATTTGAGAATCAGTCACACAAATAATCGCTAAATAATTTGCATTTATTAATGCATCTTAGCCTGAACATTTCTTACTGAAGGGAAATCACAGCACCAAAAAGAATGAAATCCAGGTTTTGGCTGAGGTTCTGGTAGCATGGGCTAACAGTGAATGAAAAATAGAGACTTGAGGAATGTAAACTCGAGTTTATTCAGTTTTTGACTTTCTTCCTATTAAGGAACATTCTGTTAGATAGTTTTCCTTCCACATATTGAATAGCTGATCTCTGACATCATAAAGAAAACTGCAAATCACATCCTAAAGCTAGTGTCACCCAAAGATAGCTTGCTATTTTAAATAATATGGAAATTGCATTGGGGTGTCAGATAAGTAAAACAATCCATTTTATTTTTAGCTACTTTTGATGTGTTCCAGACTTTGGATATTCAGACAGAGGAATAATGGAAAAGTTATTTTTTCTCTCTGAAATTACACCTCCACATGCTACTATTTCTTTAACCCCACCTCTGACTTTTTTGAGCAAAACTGATGAATTCAACTCTTCTTTTCTTGGCAGGAGAATTGTCCTGTGCTGTGTTTTAGCCAACCTCTGATCACTGGCAAGCTTTCTAGAAGAGTACTCTCAGGTACATTTTTAGTAAAAATTCTTTTTGGGGAATTTCTTTCCTTGTGCCGTGTTTACTCATGGTTAGGGTCAAATATTGAGATGCAGTGTAACTTGTCATTGGCTCTCCATCTGGGAGCAGTTTTGCTGGAGTTTGATAGCAGGACCACATTTCTGGCACAAGATTACAGTGGGAAGTGAGGATTAGACACACAGCTCGTATTTTTTAGCTTATTTTATCATCTTTTGAAACGCACAGCACTGGTGTGAAGCATGATCTTAGCTCAAATTTCCCAGTAACACCTCTATTCAATACAAAATGTAAAAAAAGTGTTTTATTCCTCCAACAAATCTGTCTACAGTGACATAAAAAGCAATAGTTCCCAATAGTCATTACCTCCTGTCTGTTTAAATAACTTCAATTAGCCATGTCTGCAATAAATTCTTAGTTTTCTTTCTACCTAGAATGTTTTCTTTTCCTCATTCCTGAAAGATTTTTTTCTCCTAACATAGATTTTCAGTGAACAATGCCTTGCTTTTCTTTCTTTTTCTTCTCACCATGTTAAGAATTTATTCAATATCTCCCTGCTGGACACTTGCTTACCAGTTTTCACAGCTATGATGATAATTCAGTGAATATTGTTCTACTTGCATTTTGTGTCCTTGTACAACTATTTTCTTAGGCTTCATTCTTTTCTTAAAAATAAGGCAGCATAATATTAATACAAAATCTGATAAGTACAACTCAAGAAAGGAAAAATGCATTCAAAATTTTCTTATAACACAGATGAAAGAAACAAAAACAAAATGTCAACAAGACAAATCCTAGTAACCCTAAAAAGGGTGATATATCACAACATATTTGAAAATAATCTGGAGCGCAGGTTAAGACATTCTGCTTGTTGATGGGCACAGAGACTGACTTTAAAGCTTGACTGTTGTGTTATGATACACATGGTTATGTAGTGGGTATCTTTATAGTGTGATGACTTTAATTCCTTTAAGTGTATGTTGAGCCCTCGTGTATCTGGATAACACAGCAGCTCCATTTTTAGTTTTTTGAGGACTCTTCATTCTTATTTCCATAGAGGTTGTATTAATCAACCAGCACCGTGCTGTAAAGGTTCTTTTACTCCTGCATCCTCACCAGCAGTTATTATTATTGTTTCTTGTATTCCTAATGGTAGCCATTCTGACTGCAGTGCGGTAGAATCTCATGTAGTTTTGATTTGATTTTCTCTAATGTCTAAAGATGTGGAGCACTTTTTCATATAATTACTATCTGTATTTTTTCTTTTGTGAAATGCTTGTTCAGTTCAATTTGCCCACCTATCAAATGTGTTCTTTGATCTCATGTTTTAAAATTATTTATAGATACTACATATTAATCATCTATTAGAAGAAAATTTAGCAAATATTTTGTCCCATTCTGTAGGATGTTTTTATCTTTTTGTTTCTTTTTCTATGCTGAAGCTTTTTAATTTGGTGCAAACTCATTTGTCCATTCTTGCTATTATTACCTAAGCTACTAGAGTCTTATTCAAGAAGTCATTGCTTGTGTCTATAACATTTTAAAGTGTTCCTCTATGCATTCTTCTAGAAGTTTCAAAGTTTCAGATTTATATGTAGCTTTTTGATCCAATTTAGGTTGATTTTTATACAAGAGAGATAGAAATCTGGTTTCAAACTTCTATATGTGAATAACCAATTTTCTCATCAGCATATGTTAAAAAGGCCATCTTTTCTCAAGAGATTGTATGTCTTTTGGAATCTTTGTTGAGACTCATATGGCTATAACTGTAACTGTATGAGTTTACTTAAGGGGCTTCTATTCTCGCCTATTATCTAGTGCAGGGTAATAGAGGCAAATCTAGGGCACATGTGCTGCAGCAAGCTATTTATATCACTGAAAGCTCTAAATGGTTCACCATCACTAGTTTAAGGCTATGTTTTTATGCTAGTACTGTGCTGCTTTTGTCACATGGCTCTGTGGCACAGTTTGAATTCAAAGCTTGTAATACACCCACATTGATTTTTCTTTTTTTTTTTTGTAAGATTTTTGGCTATTTAGGGTCTTCCTGCTTCCATATTTGTAAGAGTGGTGATAGTGAACACCTTTGTCTCTTTCTTGATAATAGAGGTAATACTTTCATTTTTTTCCATTCAGTATGGTTATTATGGGCTTGTCATATAAAGGTGTTGTGATTTACATGTAAATTGCCTCCCAAAAATCTCATGTTCAGAGATGGAGCTTTTGGAAGATAACTGTACCATGGGAGCACTTTAGTCCTCAGTACATTAATTCATTCATGAGCATATAGTGGACTGTGGTGTTAGGAGTATCAGTTAGAGGAGGTGGCTTTTCCCATATTCTTTGCTTTCTGAGTACCGTGGTCTAAGAAACTTTCTTCCACATGTCTTCTACCATGTAATTTCAGTCTTGGAACCAGATGATCATAGACTGATCATTCTTAAAGTGTGAGCCAAAATAAACTTGTCTTACTTTTGGTTGCAAGTAATAGGTTCTTTATCTCAGTGAAGAAAAGATAATTAATACAACAGTCTTTGCTACCTTGAGGGGAAATCCTTTTATTACTAGCTTCATCAGAGCTTTTATCATAATATGGAATTTTGTCAAAAAACTTTTTTCTACATCTATTGAGATGAAAATGTGAATTTTAAATCTTTATATTTATGTGGTATATTAGGTATATGATTTGCACCTGTTGAACAACTTCTATTGCTTAAATAAAATAAACTTGATCAAGGTTATGATCTTTCTAATGTGTTGCTGACTGAATTTGCAAGCATTTTATTGAAGATTTTTGTATCTGTGTTCATTAAGGACATTGATCTATAGTTTTCTCTTTTTATTATATTCTATCTGGTTTTGGTATCAAGATGACACTGGTTTTGTGCAATGAGTTTGGAAGCATTTTTCCCCTCACTATTCCCTGGGATAGTTTGAGTGGTACTGCTATATGGTATTCTTTATACATATGGTAAAGTTCAACATTGAATCCATC